TCTTTATACTGGTTACCATTACGGAAATAAATCGAAATTACATCTGTATGATCAATTTTTCGGGCCACTGTAGCTGCGATTATAAGATGAAACAATAAGTTTTTCGAGTTTATGGGCAAAGTTAAGAATAAAAATTTTAAAACCAATGCGGCTAATTGAAGTATATGAGAGAAATATTACTGTACTAGCTTCCAACACCTTTCCTAGGAATTTTTTTTCTATCCCAGAGATTTGATATTCTCCCCTCAGAATACACGTACAGTGGTACCGAACGATCAGTACCATTAAGAGACCGTCTCTCAAGGCAACAAAACATAATACCCTCACACTAAGTGGAAAAGTGTCTAAAATGAAAAATTCTTCTTGCAACACTAGTTGCTCTTCACCACGAATAACGGAGTCAGGTTGTGTTACCCGATCACAAACGGGCTGTTTACCTAGACTTCGGACAACCTCAACCCTCGAACTAAGTATAATTGAGGAAACCAGTAATATTTCTCTCATATACTTTAATTCAATTTTTCTTTAGTAGGTTTTATCTTTACATGACTCAACACTAGTGTTTTTAAAATTTCTTTTCAATTCAACCTATTCTTTATAAGAAAATAAAATGTACATATAACAAAATTCTCCATTCATAATCTCGTTCTCTTTCTTTCCTCTCTCCCTGTCATGCACATGGACTTTCAGCCTTTTTGTGATGTGTGTGCCTAGATTAGAAAAACACTAGATAATATACAATCAGTTATTTTGTTTTAAACTTTATGTAACATCCTGTACGAGGAGAAACTTGAAAATGACCGTATTAATAGGTCGAAATATCGGATTATAATTTTAATGTTTTAGTTTTAATTGTTTAATTTTTATTTTTATTTTTATTATTTGATTAAAACTTTTTATTAAAATTCTTAACATGATAGCCGCATTGGTTTTAAAATTTTTAACAATAAGTTTCTTTTTATATTTACACACTTAGAAATGGTATTCACCGCCAGTTACATTTTACATTCGAATGTGCATACAGAATGATAAAAAAATTTATTCCATCTATACTTTTAGACTTTGTTGTAAAATAATGTATGTCAATTTACTTGACACTATAAACATTTACATGGCATAGGTGTTAGTGCCGCAACTTTGAGCAAATGGACTTAAAAGGACCTGAGTCTTGGCCAAACAGAACTTTTTTTGTGCGTTTGGTGTTTTACATCGTTTTTCGGTCAAATTCTATCCAATATTTTTCCCTTGACGTTAGTCAGGGTAATATAAAAGATATTGTTTATGTCCCCATGGAGAAACCAAAAGTTTAATAACCCTTGAGAGATATGTTGTAGATAACTGAAACTTGTGAACTATAGGTAATCCAGCATGGAGCATTTATTGGTAAAATCGGGGGTCTCCAGGAGATTTTCACAAGGTTTTTAGAAAAACATGGTTTTCTACCGGCTTCTAACTATAGTTTGAATCAATATGAGAGATAAACATGATATTCCATGCCGAGGGATCTTCAGAGCGTTTTAGAGAACGTTTGGTTTTCTCCTAATTTTTACACGCGATTTAAAGTAAAATGAAGGGGAACATGATATCGAACACGTGGGAATCTCCTACTGATCTCTACCTGCGTTCCTACTGATCGAAAAGTTTTGTTGAACTTGATTAGATGGAAATGATAAAGAATAAGTAATCGACTATCGAGAACCGACCGGGACGGGTTTCGGATGCTTGCGGATCTTCAGGAACTTTGATTTTTCTGCCAATGTCGGAGTTGTTCTCTGTATAGAAAGCAGAGCCGGGCAAGTCAGAAGTTTTGAAAGTCACAAGTCAAGTCACTCCTCGAAATTTTTTCCTCCAAGTCAAGTCAAGTCTGGTTAAAATTAGGCAGAACATAACGTCTGCTAGCACCTTTCGGATGGGAGAGTTTTTATAACCTCCGAAATTCTCCCGCATGATAGAAAAAGTCTAATTTAAGCCAAAATCTCTTACTAGGAATGACTTGACTTGGGCTTGAGGCTTTTCTGATTTGACTTACCCGGCTCTGGTAAAAAGGCGCGTAAGTCTCGGACTCGGTTCCTAGAGATATCTAAATTGTTCTGGTGATTCCTTCGCCTGAAGAGGCTCGAGAGGCCTTCCCAAAAACTTTTTTTCCTAGTGTTTATTGCGATCTAAACAATGTGAGATGAAAGTGGACATGGTCTCCAGCGCTTACGAATCTTTTTGCTGTTAGTCGGTAGTTTACGACTGGTGCCGAAACGAGCGGAGAAAGTCAAGGAGTCCGTCATAACTCGCACATTCAACTGTGTCTTTATTAGAAAGTAGGCATCTGTTATTGTGTATGCGAACTATCATTTGTAGCAGTGAAGTGGAGCGTCTATGGCACGTTGGGGACTGGTCTCCAAGGAGAAACGTATTTATAGATTTCTTCAAATTAAAGTAACTTTTTATTACAGCAGATGAAAAAAAGTCGCCGTTGAAATTAACAGTTTTATTAGTCTTATATTTTTAAACTACAAAGAATATGAAAAAGGGTTCGCGAAAGTTTGGGGATACCTTTTTTGTTTTACATTTTTCGACCTATTTAGCAAAACGAAATATAATGACCCTACAAAAAAATTCCAGTGTGGCACTGCCAGGGCGCCCCGGTGCGCATGACATGCTATCGGCCACTGGCATCGGTGCGCATCCGTGCCCAGCAAGTGCCGATTGGCATCCGTGTCAGACAGTGTCTCAGTACTTCTCTTATGAGAAGGAAGAAATGTAATCAAAACGACATTCGGAACATTAGAAGTATAGTGTGCTATTTATATAGATGGTGTCGACAAAATAAAACGGTGATTGAAAAAAAATTCGGCACTGATGGCGCAGGGGTGCCGATCAAAAAAGTTTTTGTAGGGTGATTCATCAGTTAATTTTTTTTAAACATGGGTTTCTGATTCATTAAACGTCTGAATTGGCGCATGAGCAGGACTCGCTTGCTAGAAGAAAACCATACTTAATTTACTGCACGACTTCCAATTGTTTGGGATTCTTTTTTCAGTCCTAATTACACTATGTTTTACTCGGACTTTTCTTCGAGAACATTTAGTCCTTAATCTCTATGAAAAGCTTTTTAAGTAGAAGGAAGACGTTGTTTATTTTCTCAATGCAGTCGACCTCGATGTTCATTGTCTCTCCAATCTTATTAATCTTTTTAACCTGACGAAAATGAGAAATTCATCGATGATATCGAACTAACGTTTGAATGAAATATTTCTGTGAATACCAATAAAATATAGGAAAACCAAATAAGTAAGATGAGGAGAAGAAAATTAAGTTGATTTTATGAATTGATTCTCGTTTTTTATTTTATAGTTTATGGTCAATATAGTTGAGGTTTTTATATGCATCAAATGATCAACGACAGTATGATTTCTATAAGATCGAAATATAAAACAAATATGGATTTTATGTATGTGACTGAATAAACAGGTTTATCTAGTGCATACAAACGTTGAAGAACAAAAAATCATCTAAATATAAATGAAAGATGCGTGTTACAAGCATATTTAGACCAAATTATCAACTAAAGCTATCAGCATTAAGGAGGTCGTAAACAATTGAAAAGGCAGGTTGAACGCGAGCCTCAACTTTTCATCATTGGATATTTTTAAGCTTGTTCGGATCTGGCGGACTTGCGCCTCATATGTTCGTGGCCGGGCTAGAAATTTTCGGCCCGTGCGGATCTCTGAGTCACAGATGATCATATTTTTTCCTTGAGAGCGGTAAGAGCGTACGTTTGAAAGAAATAATTGATTTTTTCTCAGCAGGACTGCCTCAAAAACTTGTGTTTCTATAAGGATCGTACGCATTTCACACTTCCTTACCTACCGGTATATAAACTTTATATTGATCGGTATTGAGTAATGTTGTATCAGTCGAATGAATAACAAACAAATAATCAAATTAATTAATTAATTTTCTTAAATAATCTTGAAGGTTTGGTAACGAACTGGATCACGGTACCACTGTTAGGCTGTTGATTTTTGTTTAATTGTGCTTGTACGTGTGCGTTGCTAACAATTCACTTTCCTTTCTCTGGTTATGTATTCTTCTTTTTAACATTCAATTTAAGGTGCCCGCAACTCGAAGTTTCCGTAACGTCTTCTTATTGATATATTTATACATGGTTAAATAGAGAACATCGAACTAAATAAGAAAAAGTTAGTTTTAATTTTTGAAAAAATTTTCAAAAATTAAAACTAACTTTTTCTTATTTAGTTCGATATCCTCTGTTTAACTATGTATAAATATATCAATAAGTAAAAGTTACGGAAACTTCGAGTTGCGGGAGCCGTACATTGATGACAGCTTCGTAAAAGACAAAATCTAAGTGAGTGACATTACACATGTTTATATAGGTGTATTAACCATAAAGAGCGAATAATGAATGTAATTGAAAGATAGAAGAAAACCTTGACAGAAGTAAAAGAACAAATAGAAACATACGCACACTGAATTACATATATGACAGAGAATAAAGGAGAAGAAATTGACATGTGTACAAACACGTGAACATCTAATAGTCATGATGACTGGAGATGTTTGTAGTGTCAAATAAATTGACATATATTATTTTACAACAAAATCTAAAAGTATGAATGGAATAAGTTGTTGTTTTTTATCATTTTGTAGTTATAGTCGATTTTCAGCTAGAAATAATAGACTAAATTTTTAAAATGATGTAGATGTTTGGTAACTTTTATATTTTTCCTTACAAAGATTATATTTGAGTTTAATTTGCTATAATGTAATTAGTGATTATTAAGAATATTTTCATTTATTCTTATATGAAATTTGAAAGTAAAAAAAGAAAATAATATCTTTTTAGAGGGTTATCGAGAGTAATATATTCAAAAAAAATATGAGTTTCTTAATCGGTTTTAACGCATTTATTTTGAACAATTTTTCTCCTAAAACATGCAACAATTATTATATTGGTTATAATTAATATTAACATTGATCCAGCACAAAACAGTACATGTGGTTCACGTCGTTGACTAATTAAACCTTGATTTAATTTTTCATAATCCCACAAGACACCATGCATTTGAAATGTAACTACAAAATAAATAGAAAAATGAAAAAGATGATGTCCTTGACCAAAAAAACATAAATGACCAGGACAAAAACGTTGAGGTAAATCAAAACCAAATACTATTGAACCAAATATAAAAGCGGCAATTTGTATTAAATGACAATAGAGACCAAAATCATCTTTATAACTTAAACGAATTGTTGTTTCATGTTGTTCTAACATTGATAATGTTTCATAGATACGAAGAAAAATTGGCATTATAGAATAAAAATAGAGAACACCGCATGGAAAAAATTGATAAAAACGTTTTGTTGCAGGATAGGGTCGTTTATATTTATATTGTGCATAACAATTGAAATAACAGACAAAAATGGCTAGTATAACAAGTACATAAACATATGATTCTTTAACAAGATCATAATACCATCGAGGTGCAGAATAATAAATATGTAAAAATCCACTACCAAATCCATGTAGAGAAACGCCAGCAAAATCAATTAAAAAACATGTCATATGAACCATTTCAGATTTAGCATGTAACAGATGAGCTGTTGCTGAACACATAAACATAATCATAGCTGATAATAATGATGTAGCAAATGGTCGTGCATGAGCATTTGAAAAAAAATTTAATTGTTTATTATAATAAATAAATAATATTATTATATAAATTGTTCCAAGTAAATGACTCCATACATTAATTGTTTCATTATGTTTATGAAATAATGATTTAAAATAATAAATCCATGGTTCATTCGATCTACGAAAACCATTTATAATATAAGGTTCACAATATAATGGATCAACATCATTCGATGATAATGGATAGAGTGACATACTTTGCAATGAACCTAAAATAAATGAAAACTTTTTTTTTTAAATATTATTTAAAATATTTAAATAGAAAAACTTCTTCTTTTTTTTTTAATTATACCAATAGTTTTCTGAGCTTTAAGATTCAAATTGGCTAATTTTTGTCGAATTTGTTTTTCAAAATAAGTCGATGATTTTGACCATCGTGCACGAAATACATCATTTATTATTGTTTCAAACATATTATCTAAGTCTTATCAGCTAAATAATAACAAAAAAAAAAATCACAAATAAGAGATAAAAATTCGTTATTTCATTCTAAAAATAACAATAACTTGTCTTTTTTTATTTTTAATGTAAATGTACTTTTAGAAAATGTACCTATAACTCTTCAAAGGTAAAGGTGATGCAATGAAACAGACGATCAGATATGTAGACACCTGTACAACAATAATAACAATTGAGTCGAGTTTGACCCTCGATCATATCATACAAAAAAGATAAAACATCACCCGAGTAAAATTGATTAGTCATATATCTAAAGTTCAACAAAAAAAAAGATTCCAATCAATAATTATATTGGAATATGTTGAAATAGATTAAATAATATTTTAGTATTAGAAATAGTATTATATGTTTCTAGAGAGAAATTTGACATCATATCTGATACAATAAATATTATTTTATAGAATTTCATATGATCAAGTTCTTCGTCTTTTTGTTTTTTTTTTTATCTGAACGATACGATTTAAAAAAAAAATTGTTCTAATAACATTTTATCTATTAATATTTTATACATACACTTGTCGGGCTATTAGTTTAACTTTAATTTTTTTCTAATATTTTAATAAAATGTAATATTATTTATGTCCAATTTTTTTTGATTTTACTGATATAAATAAAATAAAAAAAAAACTACTAATGATGAATCGATAGAAAAAAAATTGGAAAGTATAATAAACTATAGACAAAATCTATAGAGAAGAATCGATAATTTTCAATTCTTATTATTACATTTCTCTCACCTACAAATATTAACTCGAAAGACAATCACGTGATTATCATTAGAGAATTGAAAACATTTTTTTATGACTTTCAACAAAATAATCGGAAAGCATTAATTCCATATTGAGATAGACTTTTTTTTTTTTTTTAAAATAAAATTTTGTTTTTTTTTCCTCTTTTTATTTCTCTTCTTCTCTCTTTTGACATATATATTATATAAACACAGAATAAGTACGCCTTTCATGTACAAAATGGATGGTAATAATATTTGACGGTATAATTTTTTTTTTTGTTCTTTTTTTTTTCTTTCTTCATTTCTGTTCTCTTCAAACGTTGCTATCGTTTTTTGTTTTCATGTTTTGATACTTGTGCTTTAATATTTCGTGTACAATCGGTGTAAGAATTGAAAATAAAATTAGTACTTTTTATTATATAAAAATGTACAGAAAAAAGAAAAAAAAATCTTTACTATTGACTACTGTTTTCAATATGATTTTTTTTACTTATTTTTTATAAAGATAAGAAATTTGAAGTGTAATAAATGTGGAATTTTTTATTTAAACATATTTTATTTTGAAAATTTACCATGACATTGAAAACATTCTGTGATAAATAATTTACCTTAACATATTAGTTAAAGCTTATTATTACTTGTATATATAAGATGAAGTTCAATAAAGATCACGTGTAATATTTCAGAGGTTATTAATTTATCATCAGATAATAGAAATAGAAGATATTTTTTGATTTAAACTTTGACTCCTTTGTTATATGTATTTTGTTCATTTTTCGATATACGTGTCTTTTCTACTATTGCCATAAAGGAGACTCATTAATTTTATTTGAAAGTTGACGGTATGAATAATATGATCAATCGATCGAAATATCGAAACAACAGTGACGGATGAAGGAACATTCTCTCAAAGAAAGCCATTCGTACCCTTGATAAACAATGAAAATGTTGTATGTGTGTGATATTGTCCTATAATATAATATATAAGAAAGAATATTTTCCATACTACTTTAGAAGTATGTTCAAAATAAATATTCCTTTAAAAAATCCTGAACTTAAAACAATGATAAATCTAGTTTTTACACGGTCTTTTTCTTCCAATATGATAACAAACAATGAGAATTCCTCTGCCGAGAAAACATGAATAGAATGATGAAAAAATGTATATAACTAATTGGAAAGGGGAGGACGGGGTCAATACGTGACAAAATCGACCTCTTCTCAGATAATTATTCTATATAGAGATCTGATGTTATTTTTCCCCGGCATTAATACATTTCTAAATAGACTATAATTACCTAATATTGTACTACCGTTAGTACTACTTAGAAACTATAATCATTTTTGTCTGCCACTATAGGAAAAAATTGAAATACCTGTCAAGTATTTGTCAAATACATCTATGAAGGCCAACTTTTAAAATAATATATTATAGCTCATTTTGTAACCCTTTCAATTCTACATTTTTATGTCGACAGACATATTGTATTGTTGCAGGAAGTATTGTTTTTTTTATTGCAAAATGTGCGCCACGTGATCTAGAGAAGTACGTTACGTAGAAAACTTTTGAAAACGGGAGGATAATCTCTCGACACTGGAGATTGATCAATGCACAGTTTTTCTCTCAAACAAAGGTCCAGATCCGGCACCATAAGCTACACAAGTGGAAGACAAATGTGTTTTAGACTTAGATAATTATTGTTAGTTTTTTGCCCGGTGCCATTTAGTCAGAGAATGAAAAATAATTTTTTGTAATTATTTGTTCTGTATAAATAAAAACATAATGACATTTAAGTACTCAGAAGAGAATTTTAATTTAGTAGAAAAGAGAAGAAAGAGGAAAAAAGAAAGAAGACGATTTCCTATTTCAAAACAAAAGGAATACCGAACAACTGAAAATTCATTGAGTATTGAAACGATTTGGAGTATTGGCTTCAAGAATAAAGAAGAAACTCTAACTACTACGATCCAATTGCTACCACCTTCTTTGGAAGGCTTGCTCTCTTTTAGGTATCTACTTAGAGCTTATATGATATTTTCTGACGTCATATGCACTTAAATATTACATGTAACGTATATTGAGTGCAAAATCATTTATTGAGTTAGTTCATTCGATTCGCTTACTTTTTTCGTGTGAATAAATCAGCATTTCCGATCGATACTTTGTATCAAATATCAAAGTTATCCTGAACCTGTGACAAAATCTGATTTGAATTTTTTTTAAATCATTAAAATGACCGATGAATTTAATCGATATTATATTAAAATTCGGACAATTCTGGAAATAGATGCAAAGACAATTTGCGAAGAACTTACAACAGCATTGGGACCTGATGCTCCAGCATATTCAACTGTTGCAAAATGGGCGAAACATTTTCGTGAAGGGAGAGAGGATGTCAATGATGACTTTCGATCTGATCGTCCGATTTCGGTACTTAGAGATGAAAATATCGAACAAGTTCGACAAGTTGTCGAAGATGATTCGCATTCAACCTACGATGATATCATAGCCGAGACTTCCCTCTCTCATGGTACAATCATTCATGACTGTTTAAAGATGAGAAAAATTCAAGGGGGAAACTGCGGACTTTATAGACTTTAAAGTCCGCTCAGATCTTTTAAAGTCCACCAAGTCCGCTAAAGTCCACTCAAGTCCATTGAAGTCTGCTGAAGTCCCGTTAAGTTCTCTCAAGTCTGATCAAGTCCAGAAACATCCCATGTGATACAACGGCTTATTTCTTTGAGTATTATTGTTATTTATTTAAAAAAGGTCACTCGAGAAGCAAGAAACGGTTTTCTGTTTTCCACGTTGACTTACCTGAAATACAATGGAGAAAATATTCGATACAGGGAAGTGTTGAATATAAGAAGTGCGTGATCTATTCTTTTCTGCAGCGTGCATACA